AAATCGGCCTACTGCCACGCCCACAAAATGGCGAAAACCGAAACTTATAAAATGTCATAACTAAGCCATAAATAAAGATATTAAAGTGAAATTTAGCACAAAGGATTGCATTATGGAGTGGCATATTTCGACGATTTTTTTTTGGAAAAGTGGGCGTGGCCCCGACCAGTACTAAGTTTTTTGTACATATCTCGAAATCTACTATAGCTATATTAACGAAAATTTCAGAGTTAATTTCTTGAAGGTACTATCTTAAAACGGAGGTAATCGGATTATAACCACGCCCACTTGCCATACAAATGTTATGTTGAAATCTACTAAAAATGCTTTAACTTAGTAAGGAAAAACACAGGAAACCTTAAATTTCATGGCAAAGATGACACAGAGGGGTTACATTCGAATTTAAAATGGGCGTGTCTCCGCCACTTATGGCTCTAAAACCATATCTCAGAAACTACTCGACTAAATTCAGCGAAACTCGGTTCGAACCATTTCCATAGCATCTATGGTTCGAAATTGGGCGAAATATATTCAGAACCACTCCTACTTCCCATATACCGCAATTTTGAAGTCCATCTGATTCGTTCACGTTATAGTATATGAGTTCAACACCAGTGAAGATAACGGACCAAAACACACCACTAAACACAACACTAGTGTAGCATATCCCGAATAAAAATCACCGAGATCAGACCATTTTATTGAAAATGTATGTAAATGACGGATAATGAAATCTCGATTATCACTTTATCATGCGAGAGTATAAAATGTCCGGTGACACCCGAACTTAGCCCTTCCTCACTTGTTTAATTTAGGCTTTACTCATGTAAAATCAACCACTAAAGTACATACATATGTATGTACACCGTCACTTAAAATGCAAAATAACGTAACATCAATTTTATATAAGTTTATATTCGAAGGAAAAACGATATAATAGAAACCGCTTATATTGAAACAAAATTTGAGTTTTCGTTAGAAAAAGGTTATACATACATATATTGGTCATCATACACTCATGTTAAGTTGTGGTTATAAAATGGTTATATATTGGTTATATCTGACAGCGATTTTAGATTATCTTTTGATGATACGCTATTTTGCATTTT